TTCATAAATAAACTCTGTTTTTGTTTATCAAATGGACCCTGAATTTTCCCCTATCATGATGAATGGGTGTTATCTTAGGGGAGTGCCTGGAGTGCCTAATGTGACTTAAACTAAACTCAGACCTCAAGTAGCTCTTGTACATACAATTCATCACTAAAGATGCTGTAAAAATAATTGGTTCCCTATGCCACTTCAGTAAATACCTGACTCCTTCTGATATCCTCTACATTTAAAAGAGCTCAATCAGTCCAAAAATGGAGAAGTGCAGTTATATCTGGGCTGGAGCTGCCCAGTCATCATTTACCAATCTTGATGGAGTCTAAAAGCATCTCTAAACACTTGTGGGTGATGAATTATTTTCCATAATTTGCTTTCTGGAACTGACTCACAAGAGGATGTTTCCCCAATCATTAAAATCTTAACCTGTTCAAGTCTTGGACGAACCATTATCCTCCCCATATATTCTATAAGCTGTGTCTCTTATGCTGTAACCCTCTACATTGAGTGTCTTTTGGGCCTTGTACAGGGTAAACATCATTGTAAAAAAAACATGCTTCCTGGTAAATGGTTACTGAATGAGGTTTGTTGTATGGATGTAAAACGATATACAGGATAGATAAGAGTTGACCATAGAGTTGAAATAGTTAAGATTGCTGTGATTGGGGAAAAATCTTATCAGAAGACTGTTCCATGAAGAAACACTTTTTGTGAAGACACTGTCTGAGTGAAACTTCCTCCTAACTAATGGAATATGAAGAGAATGAGTATGAATCATCCCTGCATATATGGCATGCCTGGCTTTAGTTTGTAAGTGTCCTTTTCTTTGTATATGGATTAATATAAGCATCAATATAATTTTAATTATGAATATATAAATCTACATATGATCTCCCATATTGAGCAGTTTTACCCATAAATATATGATGTAATGGAATAACCTGCCACCTCCATGAGTGGTGGCTATATAGGTTATAACCACCTATAAGTATCCGTGAGGAGAGCGGATGGGAGAGTTGAGCTGGGATCTGCAAGAACTAGCGGCCTCCTGATAGCAACACGCACACAACTGTACTGACTTGCAATGACCATGTGCATAACTATTACTTCCTTGCTTGTACTGATTTCTACAATAAACCTGTTACTATTTATCCACCATGTTTGTCCATTCCATATTTTTATTAGCACAGAATATAACAATATAGGATACATTAAAACTATTATTTTAAAAATATATATATATGTGTGTGTGTGTGTGTGTGTATGTGTATAAAGGTAAAAGACAATAGAAAAAATATTATTAGCTGCTGTATTTTGTCCAATGTGGAATTTTGTTTTTGCCTTGAAAAAGTCCACATTGGACAAAACACGTCAGCTAATAATACAGTTTTCCTATTGTCTTTTACCGTTATGCATCTTATCTTTTTCTACAGGTTAACTGAGAAATTTTTCATATATATATGTATATATATATATATATATACATATTAGGTTGACTCATAAATAATGTCTATTTTTGTTTATCCACTTTATACTTTAAAAAAAATAAGGTCCAATTACATTTTATTCAGTTATCTATTCACCATTATCAGTGTCAGCTCTTCAATGCCTTTTCAGTAAAATTCCACAGGTTTTGATGGGAAAAACGTTTTTGATGAACTCTTGAATTTTGTTTTCACTTGAGAAAATTTTCTCCATTAAAGCATTTCACAACAATAAAAAAAAGGTAATAATGATTTCGTGCAAGGTCAGGTGAATATGGCAGCACACGGATGGGGGGATTGGCAGACCCACTGAGTTCCAAAGTTTTTTTGTATTCGCACATTACCATGGAGGAGAACAACAACATTTTTCCTATTGACCAGGACTAGGTGCTTTTTGAACAAACTTTTATGGACATGTTGCAGATGCTGGATGTATAAAGCTGTATTTATTGTCTCATTGCATTTTAAGAGCACGAAAATGAACAATACCGCAATGATTGCACCTCATACACAACATTACATTTCTTCCATGGAACGCAGGTTGTAGAAATTTATCATTGTCAATCTACTGCCTTTTGAGCTGAACATTTTCATAAAGTTAGTGTACTTCAAATTTAATCTTAACTACCACATATGATAAGTAATTAGAATGACACATTCATCATCAAAATTGGTTCCCTAAAACGGAAATTACTTATGACTCAACCTAATATCTGATGATGATTTCTTTTCATCTGGCATTCTGATCCTACAGTGAGAAATCAACGAACTGTGATGATATCATAAAGTGGTAATGAAGGGCCCTGGGTTAGTAGGATTTCTGTCATGACACTTTGGCCCTCAAACTTGGTTTGACTCAAAGAAGAAAAATTTTGAATTCTTAACTGCAGAGAAGACAACAGGAAACCACTCCATGTTCTTTCTCAAGATGTCATGGCAATTCACAGATAAGGAAAAGGAATCTGTGAAGAGTCATGTAAAATGACAATTCTTAACAAAAATATATGTGAAAATGATTCAACTTCTGGATATAGATCTGTTTCCAGAACACAGTGAAATTATCATAGTAGGATTTCTGTCACGGCAATGCTGTTAAAATGCCCTAATATAAAGTATTAAGAAATTGCCAGTACCGTTTACAACTCAATATTAATGAGGGTTCAGTCTTTTCAATTGCCCCTTTAATAATAATAATAATAATCTGTTAAAAAAGTGGAAAAGAAAATCATATCAACATTGAAAAAGGTAAAAAGAAATGATTATTAATCCTGAAGGGACATGGAATTTAAAAAAAGGTTCTACAGTTTTTCAGTACAACAGACCAAGTTTACACTTTTGTTTTGACTGTTTATACTAACTTTTCTTTACTTTCCCATGGCTAATAATTCAAGAGTAGGAATAAAATAACTAGGGTAGGCGTAGAAATTTCTTGAAAATTTTAAGCTTGAGAGTATCAAAAAAATTTTGGTACTATTTTCACCTTCTGTTTTAACATAAGAGTTGAGGAATCAGCATGATGTATAAAAAGCTTTAAATTGGAATATAGATTTGGATATATTAATATATTATATATTATATAATAATATATTATATATTATATTATATAAAATTATATATTATATATTATATAAAATTATTATATACATATAATATATTAATTTGGATATAGCTTATTAAAATTGAAACAGACCCAATCTGATTTGTTAAGAATGGGAAAACTATGTCTTTGGGAAAACTATGAATCTACTTCTCCCTGCACTATGTCTCAATGTCAGATATTTTGAGAAAATGTCACAGGAATGCTGACAAGTTTCATGAAGGAGACTGTAATGGTGGGGGATGTTGTACGTATGTTGTTAATATAGGTACCTCCACGAGATTGCTAAAAAAAGAGCATAGCTTGATGAAAAAGACACCAAACTTGATGAAAACAAAATTTTATCATCTAAATGTTTATGTTATTATGAAGAGGAAAGACCAAAGTTTATTTTAATTATTTTTAAAAATTTTTCCTTCTTTTTAGATTTGGATATATTAATATATATTAATTCTATGTTGTAGGTATGTTGTTAATATAGTCGTTATCCCATTGTTATATGTATTTGTAGTAGTAGTTAACAGAGGAATGTTTTTTTTTATATTGGAAACAAAATGAATAAAAATTGTACAACAATAACATAAACAATAATATTTGAAGCACATGCTGATATTAATAACAAAAATATTGGTATTTTTTTTTATCATGATATGAATTACATATATTGGTATGGTTTGTATTAAAAATGTTCTCAGTGTAACTGTCTCTTTTGTTTCTTTAAAAGTTTATCCTTACTTGTTTTTGCTTGTTCTGAGAATTTTGTTGTTAAGGATAGCGTTTGAGATTTTCAACTTTCGATTTTCCGGTGCGATGGTGATACAATGTGTTGTGTCCCTTTTTACTACTGCTACTTGCTACTCTACGTTAGTCTAGTCTACTGACCCTACTGTCCTGATTGTCACTTGTGGTGGAAAGGTTGTTTTTATAATCAGATTTTAGAATGATGAAATATCTTTAATTACTGGTGGCAAGGTGGTTTTTAGGATGATGAAATTTTTATTTCAGGCATGATGAAATATCCCTATTTTCGATCATCACTAATGGCAAAGTTATTTTTAGAATGATGGAATATCATCATTTGCTCAGGCAGTAAAAAGCTGTTACTCATATAGTCAACCTTGACAAAGACCCATTATGCCTTATTGAGAAAAGACTAAGAGGTAATAATTCAATAATTTGTGTTTATGATATGAGAGTGAAGTGTATAAACAACTATTTAATATAATAGATTTTGTAATTATAGATAATAGTAACTCTTCAGAAATATCAGTTGCTGTAGTAATGTATGGTAAGAGTGTGTTGAGGTTGTGGGGAACATTTAACTCTGCCAACAACTACAGAAGTAATAGGAAGTAAGGGGAAAGAGATGGGAGGTAACAAAAATAACTCAGAAACTGCAGCAATTTGAGGAACAAAAATTCCCATGGGATTTACTTCACAAGACATTATATCTTGCCAACTGCTGACTGCTTTTCCCTGCTGCTTTTATTGCCATCTTACAAAGACCCAGATCTAGACCAAAGAGGCCCAGATATAGACATGCCAAACTGTCCTGCTGTTAACAGGAAAAACCTGGATGTAACTGGTGTTGGCAAACATGTCCACATGCAATCTTTTGTACTGATGAGCATTCTCCACAGTTGGTTATAGTAAGCTAGTCAATTTACTGCTAGTAAATTGTGTGTAATTGGACCGAGCCAGTCTTAGAGGCCCTAACCTGTGCGGGAGAGTTCCTCTTTTTGATAGTTACCTGTCATTGTCATGTCAAATTGCAAAATCTGAAAAGTAAATTTTGAAGAATAGCAAAAGAACACAGAAGTCTACATTTAAAAAAAAAAAAAAGAAAGGAGGAAACAAAAGGAACCTCATGAAATAAAGTAAAGACAAGAAATGCACCATGTGAAAAAATAAAAAAATAAAACAACTCTAGTAGGTTTATGAAATGAAAAAATTGCAAGGCAAGGAAAAGAGAGAAAATAAATTTGGAAATAAGTAAAACTGAAATGGCTAAAAAGAAAGAAAACATCAAGAAAGAAAAGAAGAGATTAGTGAGGAAGAAGAATTTAAGAAAACCTTAGAAAAAGAAAGAAATAGGAATGAAAGAGAGGATAACTCTTGAGAAGGAAAGATGATAAACAAAAACCCAAAAAAGAGAGAGAAAGAAAGAAACAGTAGAGTAAACAAAAAAGAGTCTATCCCTCCCCAATCGCAGACAAGAGTAATTCAACCGGTCAGTCTTGTGTCTGAAAAATGGTCTAATCAATAGGATGGAGTAGAAGTCTTCAGCAATTGCAATATTGTCCATTATCAGTTAGGAACCAGCAAATTCATAACGGCTACCCAATCCATGGAATCAGTTCATCAAATATTCATTAACTTGGAGTCAGGCGGACCATGTAAGGCTGACTTAGGTATTCCCCAAAGATACAAACAGACCTCATTGGCTGATTCCTGTATTGTCTGTCACATCGACCAGCGAAGATTTATTTTTTCAAAAACATAAAATAGTTCTCAGAGAATCAAATGTAATTAGTTGATCTAGAATTTATACTGTTTATATTTGGAAGTGACTTTAGAATGGGAAAAGTTTCCTGAAACATGTACATATTTATCTACTTATGGTAATATAGGCAATAAATATTATTTAAGCGATAACTGGGTGGAGGAGAAATGGATTCATATGGTTCACAATTACTATATATAACAGAAGCCATTGGCTTATACCAATGGCTTCCCATACTTAACACTTCTTGTTTTCACTCTTGCATGGTCATGTGCGATGTCATGAGCCATGGTGCAATTTTCACTTCCAGTGTTTCATATGCACGAGTTTGTCATTGCATGGAAATCTTCCATGCAAACAAAAACAGACTATCATTATTTTTATTTCCATGTATTGTTTATTATATTGTAATGTAATTGTCATCTTTGCTGATGGCTTATGTAAGGTGAAAGCTGAGATAGGATTAAAAAAAATGTATCAATATGGTGATTTTCTTTCGTCTTTCAATGATAATGTTATTAAGCTTATCAGACGATATGAAAGGAATTTACATAAAATAAATAGACAAAACTTGTCTATATTATTTAATGAAGCATGCATCTATCTATCTATCTATCTATCTATCTATATATATATGTATGTATGTATGTATGTGAGCAAGCTGGAAATGTGAGACATGTGGTCATATACTACTATCAAAAGCTGGATATGTTATCATCTGAAGTCACATGAGAGATGACCCCACTGTGTTGCATCCATGACCCAGTGATACTACATGTGTGATCTGAGAGGGAGGTATGTGATTTGACATTTGAATTGAAGAGGCATATTGTGGTGCACAAGCTTGACCTACCACAGCAACATCCGCTTAACCCTGTGAAGACACTGGAGCACATCTGTCATCTATGCTATAGGCCTTGCAAATCAACTGCTGGTTTGAAGAGCTACCTTCAAAGTCATTCAAGAGGAAACAATGATCTAGATTGAATGTAGGTGTTGATGGGCAAGACAGCAGTCATCTGTGAAGATGGGGCAATCAACATGTGTGTGTGTGTGTGTGTGTGTATGTGTATGGGTGTATGAGAGGAAGAAAGTGATAAATATATATAGCAAATAAACCCTATTTCCAACACAATTACATACCCACGGACATAACATATTAAAAGATGTCAAAAATTTATTTTCCTTTAATCATTTCACCCCAAGCAATGTGGGAATGTCACTAGTATGCAGGGGTTACACAGATTGAAGGTGAGAGAAGAGAGTAGATATAGTGGTGGTGGTGGTGGGGGGGGGTCAAAGAAAGAATAAAGGCTGAATAGGGTTGAAGTCAATAGAAGACGGCAGGTGACATTGCATTTAAATTTTTGATGATTGTAGTTATCTGAAATGCAAGTAAGTGGAAGGGAGTTTCACTGTTGGGAAGTGTGAGAAAAGAAACTGTTGGAGTAGAAGTGGCAGTTGCATTTAACTATTTCAACAGTAAAAGGGTGGGGCCTAGATGCCTTTTTAGTATGCTTAAATACATGTAGTCTGGGTACCAAGAAGAAAAGATTCTCAGAGCAATTGCCATGAAAATATTTGTAGAAAAGAGAGAGGGAAGCCACATCGTGTTGGTGAGTAAGTGATTGAAGTCAAGATACCAAGCAGAATTGATTGCAGATCCTTCTTTGGATCTTGTTAAGAACCTCAGAATGAGTAGCAGGAGAATGGTAGATTTGTAGATGTGCAAGATGGACTTTGACGAGAAAAACCTTCTGGCACAACAACTTCTAGCCAGTATCGGACAATATTTACAAACATGCTAAAAAAGATCCCACAATACAACACACACCATTTAAATCAAATTCTATTGGTTAGAAATTAACGTTGCCAGGTGAAATATATGACCAATCAAAAAGAAAAAAAATTAAACATTATTTTTCTCAAGAATACATGGGAGAAAAATTTGATCACTCAGAGAAAACTAAAACACCTACTTTTGGGGAATATTTCTTATAAAAACCCACAAATTTCAACTTTCAGCATCAGAGAAATGTGACTGTTTTCAACACAAAAGAAAACATGGCTACATAGCTTTTTTCTTCTCCCTAGTGTATGCCAAAAGAAACCTGTGTTAGCAACTTTAAATGAATCATTTCCAACAACAGCTTGGATGGTGAGTGAATCTTCATTGACAATCAAACACTATTTTCAATCACAGCATTTTACTGTAGACCAACTACATAAAAGGTTTTTTTTTTTTATCAAACACAGACTGTGGACCAGCTATTCAAATGTCTTTTCTCAACTGCAGCTTCTTATTGTGGACCAACTACGAAAATTAATTTCTAAGCTACATGTTTTTGTGTTAACCAACTACTCAAAGATTTTAACTCAACAAAAGATTATTTTTCCTCCTTTCTGACTCTTGAAGTCATCTACATATGTTTATGAATAAAAATGATTTATTTAACAGGCATACCAAGTTTTCTTTATTTTTATCTTATTCAGTCAATTATGTGCCATGTGTGATACATGCTTAGGCGATCATGTATCTTTTGATACATGACTGACGAGGCAGATTTTTCCCACAGTAGCCTGCCATTTCTTTCTACAGTAGACCAGTTGCCATCCAAGGCTATAGAACCTGGTCTGTCCTGCTATTTACCCATAGCTAGGAGGAGAAGAAGAGGATTCATACCTTTCTCAAGGTTATTAGCACATAAGTAAATGTAATGGATTTGACTGGAATTTGAACTCAGCTCTCTAATTCCTCAATCCGAGCCACTGTCCATTACTCCATCATTGTTTGGAATTCAGACATTCAGATTTTTAATATAAAACAACCTGAATGATGAATTTCCTACAGCAGCATTGAATATATATACAAGATTTTTGCACACAGGGATTTTACTAGAATAATAGCAGCTGAATATTAATGCTGGTAAGCATTTTTTGGTCTGTCTAGAAAATCTATGATTCAAGCAGGTTACTATACTGAGCAGGTTGGTTTGGCTCTAGGCCAGGCATTGGCAATCTTTTCCAACCAGTGGGCTGAATCAGATATGGCTCATCATGAGGTGGACCACACTACTAAAAAGATTCAATGTAAGTTTTCGTTGAAGCTGTCGCAGTCATTTTCATCACAGAAGGCCATGTGCATAATCATCTGCCATAGAAATAGTGAAAGGTTGATTGTTTTTGAAGAAAAGATTCCTCAATAATAAAAAAAAAAATGAAGTCCGGATATAATTTGATCAGAGGTGACAGTGGTTAAGACACAATGTTGCATGAGATTTGTTTCTTATTCATTCACTTGAAAATACAAAAAATAATTTTTAAATTAAAAAATATATTTCTTTTCTAGAGAAAAAAATGTTTCTCCTTTAGAAAATACATTTCTTTTTCAGACAAAAATATTATTATGGACATTCTGTTTCTAAAGCAAATGGTATTTACACACATGGTCTTCCTTAGTGAAAAACAACAATCATTTGAAATGATGAAAATGTTATGTTCAATGAAAAGTTACAAAATTCAAGAAACATTGTGCTTAATTATTATGTATGTGGTTACACATGAGAAAATATGAGTGAACAAATGAGGAAGAAACAAAATAAGCAAAATTTTAATAAATCTTATTTTCTTCATGGAATTCAGTGTGCCATTGAGAAAGTGAAATGGGCTGCACTTTGCTCATGACTGCTCATTAAGAAGCCAAGTTTGTTTAACAGTTTTTTGAAACCTATCAAGATCAAAGGAAAATTATTGATGCTCCAATTTCTCAGCGGAGTTATTATGATCGTTCAAAAATTCTTTGGACGAAAACATTCTATCTTAAAAATGTTATGTGAAGGTTTCATATGAATCATTATCATATACAACATCACATGTAGTTATATTAAAGAATACAAACCAAACAATCATAAAAATTCACAATGTAGAATTAATAAAAGACTAAACACTTTAAATAACTCAGTGTAGGAACAGTCATAACAAATTCAGTATAGGAGAAAAGGAAATTGAAGATAGAATAGGTTACAAGAGGATTAGTCTCACTCATCACTGCAAACTATTACAAAAATAAAATATTAGCATAAAAACTTGAGTCATCTTCTTATTAAATGGAAACTTTTGTAAGGATGCCATGCATAGTGTCACACCCATTCAGAAATATCTAAACTTTTAGCTATATATAACCACTTTTACAGAACAATGATTAAAAATGGCTTCAAGCAAAGACCATTCTTCTTCAAAACTCATGGACTGGTTCTCCAAAATCACAAAGAACAGTACCAAATAACAGGAACTACATCAGTTGAGTAAGTTTGAAGAATTTGACATTCACAGGACATATTGAAGGCAATTTGGGTGTTAGAGGAGCCTATATAATGAGCTTGTGTAAATCACAAAAAGACAAAGATTACTAAGAGCTACAAAGGAAGTTGCAGAGAGCCATGTTCACCAACATACTGAATGCACATGACACATAAAAGAAGAAGGTACTCATCTTAAACTGTCAGCTGTATACAACAACATTCTCAGGCCAATGATTAAAATGGCTTTGAGAAAATGAAACATGTTACTC